TATATATATATATATATGTATATGTGTGGGTATAGAATGAGAATTATTACATTGTAACATTTTTCTGAACAGATTTGCTTTTATGCATTGACAAAAAAAAAAAATCATACTTCTCCGTCTGACAAATTGTACACTGCTGTGTGATCTACTGTTGCATGTGTTCTTGTCAGTTTATATTTAGTGTGAAATTTCACTGTTGTATTCATGAAGGTTTTCTGATCTTATCTTATTTTATCTTTTCTTATGAAAACTTGCCCGATGGACTCATTGAAAACCTCATCAAGCCATCTGTCAGTTCTACTTCTGCATTGTATCTCATTAGATTAGCAAATGAGTGAACATTTTTGCATACGGTTCACCGGCTTTTGTAAGATGAAGAGCCTTTGTTCCTCCTCCTTAGCCAAAATTGATCAAAATAAATATTTAATTGTACTTTGCCATAACCTTGACATGTCATATGGCAAAGTTCCTTCTGAACTTTTTTCTCATACTGTATTCATCTTTTGATCAAGGACCCAAATGTCTTCAGTAAACAACAAAAACATGGAACCTTTCCACTCCAATACTTTTCGAGGGGGCTCAACGCATAAACTCTCAACAAAAACGTACATCGGTCATGAATTGATTGCAACGAACATCAATCGAAAAGTCTGTCGCCAAGAAAATGTTTGTTTGAAAAGGGTTCTCTAGCATGTATAATTATCCTCTAAAATAATGTTTATGAGAATCAAAATTAAACGTATGACTGTTGATGAACAACAGAGACAAACGCAACTGAGTGCGATCCAAATGTTCAATCAATGTTTTTGTGTGGATTTGCATGGAGGCAGATTAGGGAGTCTTTGTGCTATGCGCAGACACCAGCTCCCCCTCCAGGGGCGGGCAGCAGACACAGTGTGGCGCTTCGGATGCAAAAGGGTTCACGACGGAGCCCGTCTGGCCTGGCAGAGATGCTTGAGACTGTCTGGGTTCTGCACTCCCAGACAGGGAACCCTTCCACTCATCAGATGCCACCCATCCCCCGTCCCCGTCTCCCCAACCCCCTTCCCCTTGACCTTGACTCTCTGTCATCGTGGCCCTCCAGACAGTCTGGGGTCAAAGGCTAACACAGTAGTCACACATCAGACACGGTTCGAGTCCCCTGTGTTCATATAAATGCTGAATGATAAATCACCTCAAACCAGCCTGTTGGAATGTGCCTTGGAATTCCTGTGGTGCTCGCACGGCTCAAAATGATGGAGGAGAAATCTTTCTTTTCACTTTTTTTTTTTGGCCTAATTTTGTCTCAGCGTTCCTGTTTATCCATGGATAGCAAAGAACGTCATATATTTTCAGGGAATCAGCTTGCAGTGAAAATGTTAACGCTTACCTTTGAATGTGAATGCCAGCCAATCACAGCAGAGTTATTAGCGTGTGGCAACAATTTGGGAACTTCATTGTTGTGCAGTGCTGATAAACCAATATCAGCTTGCAAATTGCTTGCACAGATCCATGTTGGTGCCTTAAGCACAATATCTTTCATGGTGTTTCTCTCTTTCCAGCAGCATCAAATACCCTTTGAAATTCTTAAGATCTATCACGAAACCCTTTACTACATGGACACTTTTTTCTTTTTTTCCACACGCAATGAAGCCTAGTTCCTGCTTGCTCTTTCTTTCTGTCCCCCCCCCCCCCTCCACCCCATCGGCGCGTGTTTCTTGCCTCCCCGCCAACGCTCTCTCTCTCTCTCTCTCTCTCTCTCTCTCTCGAAAAGAACATCTGCATCACAGAGCAGAGGTCATGGGTTCAAATCCGGCCCTGGCCTTCCTGTGTGGGGTTTGCACTCTCCCTGTGACTACGTGGGTTTTCTCCAGGTAGTCCGGTTTCCTCTCACAGTTAAATACATGCATGGGAGCTTGATTGAACTCGAAATCAGTAGTTCTTAACCTGGGTTCAATCAAAACCTGGGGGTTTGGTGATTCAGTCTAAACAAGTTCAGTGGCGGTCAGGTCACGTGCAGTGAAAATTATGATTCATGACAACTCGTCAAATTAAGAACTTTCTCCGATGTTCATGGATCACTCGAAATTGTCCCGAGGAGTGAGTGTGAGCACGGATGGTTGTTTGTCTATGTGCGCCCTGCAATTGGCTGGTCACCAGTTCAAGATGTATCCCACTTTTATATATATATAT